GGGTTGGTTCTTTCCTCAAAGATTCTCCATGGAGTCTCCCCATCAGTTCAGTGGTTCCAGGTGAGTGTGAAATCTCCCCTGACCAAAGTGCTACAGTGCAGATCACAAGCTTTGAAGACAGGTGAACTTGAATTTGACTTGATCTGACACTTAGTAATTGTTAAACCTTAGACCTTACGTAATCACAATCCCCAAGTGTTTTATCTGTAGAATGGGAATAAAACCTACCATACAGGGTTGTTGTGAAGTTTGGAAAAGATAATACAGGGACAAGTACTCAGTACAATGTCTGTCAACCAGTAGGTGCTTGATAAATGTGTTTTGCAACTTGCCGACTAAGGGAACAGAAGGGGCTGTGTCCCAATGGAAAAAAGTCTTCTTCTAGGCAAATGCCATGAGAGATCTTTGTGGATTCACTGGTTCAATCATTTGTTCAATAAATATTCACTGAAGGCCCCCCATCCTGTGTCAGTTTCTGTGTTGGGCTGTGGGGTTGTAGAGATGAAAGGCACAGTAGCTGAATGAGAAGATGCTCAGCTCACGTCCTCCCCCAGTGCTGAGCCCCACTGCAGACCTGCAGGCCTGGAGAGGCCCTACTGAGGGATCAGGGCTGAAAACTAGCTGGACAGGTCCTGAGCCCAATACAGCCCCTCTTCCATTCAACACAGCAACGGTCCAGTGCTGCCCAACAACCAAGAGAAAGAGATTTATGGAAATGGACTCATCACTATGCAGTGTGGCCCCATCCGGCTGGAGGCATTGATGCTAGAGACCTATTTGCTCTTCAGCCTCTACCCATCTCCCTGCCACCTCCACCTGCTCCCACATTTTACTTTTGAAAAACCCAGATTGGCAGAAATAGGATACGCCTTTTACCAAGTCTGTGCTTCTCCTCTGCTGGATAAAAGCTCTTTCCGAAGAACCAGACTCCCAAAGCATGGCTTCTCAAATTGTGGACCAGAAACCTAAGTTCCGGTATTGGGTATCTCTTACCAGAGATAGGTGACAGCTCTCCTTTTCATCAATCAGTTCATTTGGGTGCCATGCTTTTTTAGTCCTTCAGAAAACATTCAGTGAGAAACTGATATCCACCAGTCCTGGTGCATGAAGAACCTCCTAGAGATACTGTTCCATTGCCTGAACTTGAAACAATCTTCTCTTCACATCCCTGCCACACTGTATGATTATCATCTGTTTAAGTATCTGCCCTTCAATAGAATATGAGTTCCTTGAAGGCAAGGACTCTGTATTTTCATCTCTGTACCCTAAATGCCATAGAGCCTGGTACACAAAAGTCAATAAATACCTGTGAATAAGACAGGCATACAAACCAACAAATTCCATACAGCATAAAGTCCTAAAATCTCCAAGTAGTACAAGGAGCTTATTCCACTCTTCACCTATAAATGCAAATACGGTAGGTAACAATGGCCGGGTCAGACCATAGGACATATTAAAGGATATAAGATGCCACATATTCAAGAAATTGCCTCTCAGGGCCGGCCGAGTGGCTCAGTTGGTTAAGAGCTCGCTCAAGAGTTTGAGCTCTGAGCAACAGCGGTTCGAG